GAGAAGATTAAATGGAAGCATTAGTAACAGTTTAAGGCAGTTAACTAAACTATGCACGCCTACCAGTTGAGGGATATTGCTGAAAAGCTTTGTTGCATGTTGTGTATTCCACAGGGAAAGCACATTAAAAATAAACAAACAAGTGATAGCAAATAACATTAAGAGCAGAAAGCTTCTGTCATCCTAGGATTATGCTGCTCCCTTCAGTTGTCTTGGAGACAAGAGCATGAGAGAGGTTCTGACACCCTCACACTGGCGTACTCTGCAGGGTGACATGCATCAGGCAGTACTGGTTTAAACCGATAAGGAGCTGAGTTCTCCTGTTTCAATTTTAACAGAGATGAATTGACATCCTTGGTACTTTGTGAGACTGCTCCATGAGGGATTATTTCAGGAATTTTTTACGAAGAAACAATAAACAGCTTTTTGCCAACTAACTTATATAGGAAATGAGTAGCATGCAGGCTAGAAATGAAGATTAACTACTTAAAGAGTTTGCATGACTGTTTGTCTTGCTTCTTAAGTAGCAACAGAGAACCACTGATGGAAGATATGCTGGAAGTACCCACAGAACTGGTTGCATAGTCTACAGCAGTGAAATTTGGAGAGGAATATTTTTGGATTTAAAAAGAGTAAAGACAAGGTGAGGAGTAAAGGAAAATTCGTATTGCAATTTAGCAAATACAAAATACAAAAAATTGTTTCTGGAGGGGTAGTCTGAAAGTTAATTTGCACAACTTATCAGAAGGCTGTATATTGTGTAAGTCCACTCAAGAAGGATTCTTTGTGTAGATGAAAGTTCTTAAACTAGGTTTACACCATAAAGAAGAAAAACTGAAGTGTCTTTCTGTCCAGGTACTCAGAGCCATGGAGGTTTCTAGCACATGACAAGTACCAGCTGTGATAGAGTTAACAGCAGTACCTCCATGGCTACAGCAGCACAGATTCTTGTAGTTGTCAACACTTACAGCTCAGAAAGATGAAGGTTACTAGTGACCAACTGCACGTTCTTATTCAGACTTCATACATCTTAAAGTATGAAGACTTTGGCGAAAGAGCAACATAGCTCTGAGCAGCTCTCCTCAAATTCAATTGGAAGGAGTTGCAAGAATTGCTGTGAAGTGCTGTTAGCTGGCAGTGTCATGAATTGGCAGTGCTACTGGGAAGAAGTTTGTTATTTTACTCACCTGCGAACATTTTCACATGAAGCAACAAAGAAACTATTGACTAAACTGCTAAACAGTGAAGAATTTCATAATGTATCCCATCATGAGAAAAAAGTCAGTGCACTGTAATTCAGAATACACTTGGCAAAGTGCCTGTTGCTGTTTGTCAGAGAAATAAATTCTGGCAGCACTTTAATTTTATTTTCATTTAGAGATACCTGTGCTACACATCTTGGTGTCATCTTGGAACAAGGAGTAGCATTTAATCTCTTACTGGTTATCAATATTGGGATGCCAGGCAGTTCAGAGTTCTACAGTTAAACACAAACTTTAAAGCTCACTGAGGTAAAGGTTTTCTCAAGTTGGTCTCTCTTTGCTTCTTTTCCACTTAATAAGAACACTGCAGTATGTTTGGTAAGACAGTGAATGAAACCTAAGGTATTTATAATTCCTTTTTTTCATATATTTTGCACAGCATTGTGCAGTCTCTTTTTCTAATACCTGTTACTAGATAAGCAAAGAACTAAGAAGCTGTACTATAATTGGAAAACTAGGTAAACAGTCACCAGACATATTTGTCTTCCTATTTGTTTACCAAGCACTGAAAGAGTGTTCCTGAGTCTGTATCATTTCAGATTTCTGATGTGTGCTTTAGAAGTCTCCCATTGTTTACAGAAAGCAATAGCTATAGCAGTTTTTTCCCCTTTCATAGAATGGTTTCACAGGGCAGTGTGAACTAGCTTTCACTTGATGAAGGAAGGTTCTGTCCACCAGCCTTTCAGTCAAGCACAAATATGATGCACCTGTCCATTAATTTCTCTCTTCATAATCCCCCCAGACCAGATGCAGCATGGGCTATTTAGGTTAGTGTTAGCAGTTATCAGTAGCAAGTTTCTTGAGCCTGGTTCATTTTGACTGACTCAAAGGAAGGAGAGAGTACTTAAGCATTTGTGTAGACACAGTTATCAAGATCTAAAGTGCATTAACCACCTACATGAAGGGGTGATCAGAGGCAGAAAAATCACGTGCAACCAGAAGAGTGTGTGCTTCAAAGTGAATGTTAAATTTTGTGTTCATAACATATGCAAACCAGTACCATTAATAAAGTAGATGCCAGTACCGAATGATCTTTGACTACTTTGCCTAATCCAGCTGAAAGCTGCACAACAAACTCAGCCTTTAAAACAATTATGAAGCACAGAGTAAATTGCCACCAAGATTAATTACATTTCCTGCATGCTGATGGTAACATGAGATTTGGCTGATCTCATTGTTAACAGCTCTCCATTCCTCATCGTTATGGCAAACTATCACCAGTGTTGCTCCTTTCTTCAGAGGCCTCTTCTCCTACGCTGTCTACAATTATCTGATTATCTGATCAATGACCTGGTTTGGATTTGGCAGATGAGCGAGTCTCTGATTTGCATTACCTCATGGCTTCATTTCATTTAGATCTACTAGACTGCCTTTTTTTTTTAAATGTTTACCAAGATTGTTGATTATAAAACATTTTTTCTGCTACATACATCAAGTTGTAGGTGGGGCTCCACTTGGACTGCTGGGGAATGGCACTGCTGGACTCTAGGGTTTGCAGTTGATCCCATAACAAGGTGAACAACACTTTCTATGGGAAACCTCATTGCCCAGATTTCTGCTGTGAAGCCCCAAATCTTTAACATGATTTGCAGCTCAAGTCTATAATGAAAACGTGGAAATGAGAACTAATATTAGAGCAAACTAGAGCTGAAGTGTTGCAGATTGCAGATTCTCCTGCTGCAAATACAGAACACAGAACCATGAAACTGCAATAAGAATCCAGGGAAAGTGTTTCTACCAAGGTGAATGAAGATGAAACTGCACAAGTGGTTCAGCAGCTAATCTTTGGTATAGCTCAACTATACCTCAACTATGAGCCTATTTCTCATTACTCAAAGCACACTGTCTGCCACAGAAGGCTTCTGTCTTTGCAGAAGTTTTGTGATGACAGAAGGAGGGGAAGTAGGAACCTGTTCTGACCACTTCACGTCTGGCTGTGGTTTTGGTGGGACAGGAGCAACCTTTAACAGCTAACATTTATACCAGGAACAAGTGATTGAAGAATCAAGGAACACAGTGCCCACATTGGAATGTGAAGATAGCTGCATTTCAAAACAAAACACAATAAGAAAATAACAATCAATCAATCAGGAATCATCACAGACCAAACTAATGAGAGTCATTGAAGCCCAGATTATATTTTCAAGCAGCACCAATCAGTAAATGTTTGTATGATAGCATGTAACAATACATGTTGGTAATATAGTGTAGTTAAAAACAACAACAAAGACAAAAACACTAAAGAAAAACAACAGTAGAGATGCTTTTCATTCCAAACACGTAATTACCATACTGGCAAAATACATGAATAGGAACATTACCTTAAGAAGACCAGTGCTGCTGCTCATACAAGCACAGCAGTTTCCTTGCAGGTGCTAGACTGATGTGCAGTAGCTCCAGGAACCTATCAGTGTGACTGGTCATCAAAATCAATTCCCTATGGAAAAAAAAAAAAAAAAAAGCAAAAATAAAGAAGAATGTTTATAGCTTTTGTTACAAAGATTTGTGCTTTTAGGAATAATAGTTCATGTGTGCCATGCAGGTGTTTTTCCATTCCTTCCTTGAACAGCAGGTTCATCACCAGAGTTGGTGCATATCAACCTAGCTGGAGGGTCATTGGAGAGCTAACTGACCCCTGCACGTAGGGCACCCAGTAGGAAAAATACCTCTGCCTATGAAGAACCAGTATGTTAGAAGTACTTCCTCACTACTTAGAGGCCAAAAGGGGTATTTGCTTAACGGCGTCTGGGAAGCAATGAGGCCCAAAGTCTTGTCCTGTTGGAAGCACACATTAAATGCAACACAAAGTGACAAAGGAGCTGCTTCCTACTGTCTGCTATTGTTCAGCAATATCATTCTGCTTCGCACAGTTCACATCTTCTTTTTCCCACACTTCTGATCCGTAAGTCTACAACAGAACATTTTACAGGTAAGGAGCAAAGAAATCAATTTCCTGTTCTCTGAACTGCGTACTCCACAGGAGTTGCAGTTTGGGGCAGTCTGTTGCATTTTTACTGGATCCCACACGTAACAGTGCTGACTCAATGCACTTCTCAGTTGTCACATGAGCAAGCCTCTGCAACAACTGCTGCTGGCTGCTGACTTGCAGGGCACTGTAGGGCTCATCTGGGCTGGTACTCGTGGAATGGCTGTAAAATCCAGAGGGTGGAGGCTACAGCTCAGGCCTCAGTACAGCCTGACTTCAGAAGAACTTACAGTCATGGCAGAAGGGCACTGCCAGAAGGTTATTTTATGTTGTTATTTGAGCTGTTAGCCACGGACGGAAGTTTCAGCTTCCAAATGAGAACTCATAATATTGAGTGAGCTCAGTGAACAGTCATAAGGACAACATGATAAATGAGAATGTAGAAATGATTGCAGTCACTCTTTGGCTAATTAGCATGTGAAAATACAGTCTGGTTTCTGAAATGATTGGCACCACTTAGCTCCAAGAGGGCAACTGGAAGGATTATTTTTCTTTAGTGAAAGTATTTTGCATAATAGCAGCCAACTGTATTCCCCAGGCATGCAAAGTTTGGTTCACTAGACATATACTGTCTCACTTTCTGACCTTACCTGAATATTTCACTAGGTTTTCCACAAGCTAACAGCACAAGTCAAACTATTAAGGAGGCTTTTAAAGATGTAAGAAATATAGTACACACACATTCTTATATACAAATTCTTTATTAAAAATGCTTCTGGGATGGCCTGTAACAAAACTGTATCCATCCAGAGTTAAAAACAAGAAATCAAGACAAAGCAGTAGCTATTACAGTGCATTAATATGTTTTCCATCATTCTGGAAGTCTGATCAGTGCACAGCAGTGTAAAAGTAAATACCAGTAAAACGTGGTGCCTGCATATGTTGCAGGCTCTACAGTCTGAGGTATTATTTTACATAAGTATGAAACTTGATTCAATTATTGGTTTGAAAAAACTTCATTTATTTTAATTTTTGTTTGTGGTTACAGTAGAATATAAAAAAATAAGAATTATTCCTAATATTTACACAATGACAAAACAATTGCATGGACTTTGTTACAAAAAGAAAGAAAATATGTAGTACAGAGACGTTTGCCACAAAATTTGACCCTGTACTCAGAATTTGAAACACAAAGATCCGATTGCACCAGCAGAAGGCAACTCCATGTTTTGTTATGCTTTGTTTCAGTTTCAAAATGAATGTTGTGTCCTTGATTATGCTAGCCTGCTTCACAACCACATTCCCCTTAGGGGTGAAACAGCATCAGAGTTGAGGCAACGTATGCTCTAGTGTTAGAGAAATTTAAAGAGGGCATTCACTCATCCCTGCTAGTTATTACTCACTATGCAGTTGTTTTTGCTGTAGATCCTTCAGTGTCTCAGAATAGCTTTGTCCAAATAAGAACATACCAAGAATCTCTAGTACAGACAGCCTATATGAGCAAGAGAGGTAATTTACAGATATAGCCAAATACATATTAGTGCTTTAAAAGCATCATAGCAAAGTTAGTACCTTGCCAGAAGGTTACATTCCTAAGGCGAACAGTAATTCCTCTCAAGGATCTCCATAGGGGCCATGGTTGGCAGCAGTACAGACACAACCTCCAGCAGACCTCTTCACTATTCTTGCTGTTAAAATCTCTCCATGTTTATATGGAGCTGCCAAATGTGGAGTGCTTGTGACTTGAGTAAGCGTAACAGCTAAAACGTTTGGGGCTGTCAGAAGGTAGGACACAATGCAGGTCCTAGAGATAACAGACTAACAGTAATCATCCACCCACCGGTCACTCCCTCTCATAAATAGCTATATTTTGATGTCTTAAGATCTCTTATTTAAACCTCCGTCCCCTCCCTGGAAAACAGAGTGTTATTTGTGCTGATACTGCTGTAAAAATGGCTGTTAAACTGGTTGAGCACTGAGTTGCTATAGCCGAGGTGACTGGGAGGCATAGAATTGGACCACTCTCCCACACCATGACTGGGGACATTAGAGAGCGGAGAGTAGGAATTTAAGCCTACCATATTCTGTCCCATTTTGTCAGTGGGTTCAGCATTAAGTCCCAATGGCACTGAGCGGCCCACTGAATTAGAGCCGTTAACGTATGCAGTCATACTGGAAATGAAATTACTAAGGCACGGACTGCTGGAAGATGGAGGCGGAGATCCTTTATCGGGTGGATTGTCAGTCCCAGATGATGAGTTTTCCAAAAGATCCTGATGCTCTACAGCTTTGGGGCTGCCAGTCAAGGCACTGTCCTCGGATTTCTCTGATGTAAGATGGGCAGAACTAGCCCCAATATCTGATTTCCTTTTCCTCTTCCTGCGAAAGTTGCCATTGTCAAACATCTTCTCACAGTTTGGGTCCAGAGTCCAGTAATTCCCTTTTCCTGTCAAGGATGGACAAACACATTTTCACTTTTAAAATATGCCTGCAGTCAGCAAAGAACAGTTTTCTTTGATTTTTCAATTTTATTTTCATAGAAACAGAAAATTTGCATGAGCAAAAAATACACGTTTTGTAACCACACAAAAGCACAAGTCTTCTTTTTTTGAAAAAATAATTTTTCCCATAAGTTTTTCCACATAAGTTTTCCCCCATGTCCTGTAGCCTTGACTCTACACACAGCTAGAACTACAACTGGAGCCTCTAGAAAGACTTGTTAGTTTTGCTTTTTGTTTTTCTTGGTGGGGGAATGAGGTTTTCACTAGATAACTGGTCCTCCAAATTTACAGCAATAAGTAATCAAATCCAACAATGGGTTGCTCCTGCAGATTCAGTGGAGTAGGATAGTTTACCAATGAGACAGAAGCACATTTTTGGCTCTCTCTGGAAACACAATCGAGTGCCTTTAATGTCCCAAAAGGTTCTCAATGGCTACTGACAGGAAAGAAAAAAAAAAGGAAGAAGAATCTGATGACATTTCACCAGTGGGTTGGAAACAGCCAAAGTGAGATTCCAAGCAAAACACTACTTGAAATAAAACAAAAGCAGCCTGCTCTCCTTGTGATAATTACTGTTGACTCCCTAAAGCTACTGGACTGCTGTGACTAGTCTGAATTTTCTTTATCCTCTTTCTATGAGTCCTCAGTTAAGTTTGATATAATTCATACATGTTACACCAAATGATTTCTGAATATGACTTCCTCAGGCTGCTCCTGTGCTTGGTTCTGAGGAAGATTTAGAGCGTTAAAGAATCTCTTTCTTTACAGAGATTTGATAAAGAATATTGAATCGGAACTCAGCTATGCATGCTTGCCTTCTAGTGCAGCCCTGTGAAAAAAGAGAAGCTACTATGTGTATTAGATTAATCACGTTTAAATAGAGAGGAGAAAGGTGGGGGGAAGGTATATATACCTGGATCATCTTCATCTCTAGGCACCTTCTTGAAGCAATCGTTGAGAGACAAGTTGTGCCGAATTGAGTTCTGCCAGCCAGCTTTGCTTTTGTTGTAAAATGGGAAGTTGTCAGCCACGTACTGGTAGATCTGACTGAGAGTCAACCTCTTTTCTGGTGCTCCATGGATAGCCATGGCAATAAGTGCAGAGTAGGAGTAAGGTGGTCTAACCAACTTCATAAGCTCTTCTTGGGATGGGAGAGGAAGCCAGCCAAGATCAGTTCCTCCCAAGCCGTGCATGTTAGGCAGGAGCTGCCTTTGCATCCCATAAGACTGAGGAATGAAAGGACTGGCATTGGATCCCGGGAGATACGGTGGTGGAGTAATGGAAGGTCCGTTTAGCCAGAGGTAAGGATTGGGTGTGCTGTTGTAGTCCGTTGTCTCAAAGGTGCTCGGTCGCTGCGGACTGGGAATATTCTGTGGATGGAAGAAGTTCTCATAGTAGATATTCATTTCTGGAGGCTCTTGACCAATATTTGGAAATTGTGGGCTGCAGCGTGGTGGAGAGTGCGTTTGTGGATCAAAGGAGCTCATGCTCTAACACAGGCAGCTGATAAGTTATGACACACCTGTGCTAGTGCTCCTTTCCTGAGACAGGTGCATCACCTGTGCCCTTCCCTACTTACTTATGCACCTGTAAGTGTTTTGGCTTGGACTGCAGGCTCCGCCCCATGGCCCTGAGTGGCTGCAGATTAGGATGATATCCCTTTTGGAATGCTGGCAGTCCCAGCCAGTCATTGATGTTACATCAACCAAACGTGAAATTTACAACTGTTTATCTTCTAAAATGAACAAAGGAATTTTCCACTAATGTGAAGCACATAAAGAAAGCCTGAGGTACCTTGAAGTCACAACCCCTAATCAGACATCCACCTCTTTTTACCTTTTACACCAAAGATTTAGCGTGTAGTTTTTGTTTCTTTTTAAATAAAAGCAGTTTTGTTCTCTTGCTGGTAACACTTAATAGAGCAAAAGCTATTGTCATTTGTCAATGAAACAGCAGGCATACTTGAAAAGAAAAGAAAAAAGAAAGGAAAGGAAAGGAAAGGGCAAAGAAAGGGAAAGAAAAGGGAAAGAAAAGGGAAAGAAAAGGGAAAGAAAAGGGAAAGAAGAGAAAAGGTCAGACCTCCTTTTCCTTCTGTAACTTTAATTGCAACTTCCTTGTACTTCCCCCTAGGCAATCTCAGTACTAGAGGCAAATTCTGCAACAGGGTACTCACGTGGGTAATCTTATTGATGTAAATGGATTAATCTTATGAGAAAAAAAAGCAATCAAGCTTAATAATCAAACCTTTCATTAGAGCTTAAAAAGGTGAACGAAATGGGAAATCTTTTTGTTTTTTTTTTTGTTTTTTTTTTTTGGCTGCTTCCTCTTTGCTGCAGGACTGGTACAAAAAGTCACAAAAGCACTTAGCAGAATTTCCAAGGAGGAAAAGATGTAATGATTTTCTCAGCTAATTTCCAACTTTGTTTGTAACTACGCAGACAAAAGTAGGTTCCTAAAAAAAAGCAGTAAGTAACAGCCAAAAACCTCCAGCCTTGCATGGCACCCAGCATTTACAAATAAGAAAAAGCAGAGCTGCAACCTCATTAACATCTGCCTCAGAAGGAGGGCAGCTCTTAGACTGTACAACTGCACAGAATGCTCCACTGTCGTTAAAAGCATACCTGCAGCTCTCCTCAGACAACAGAAGTGATATTTGTGGGCTCCTTTTCTGAATCTAAGTGTACACACATACATATGTTTGGAACCTGACTCAGCCTCAGTAACTTGTGCGATTAAACTCCCCAAATGGCAAGAAAGTCTGTAAGATAGTTCTAGTCCCATAGATTCTGCAGAAATGTGAGCTTTGATCTGTAGGTTTGAATCCTTGGCTGAACCAAGGACTTTTTTAATTTGTCACACAAGCATCATTTCATTTAATGACTTGTGCTGCAGCACGAGATTCCACCCAGGTTCCCTGCTCCCTGTGACAGTGCTGTCATGTTCATATCGTTACTCTGAAAGGCACGAAACACAACTGAAATATTTAGTACAGGGTGACAGAGCCAATTTTCATGCTCAGAAACGCCGCTATAGCTGTTACTTAATCAATACACCCATAAAATCATATGCACTACAGGTATGAATGAACAAATTGCTGTTAGTTTGTGAATGCTAACCAGGCTATACAAATAACATTCAGGAGACAAAAGCTTAGAGGGACGTAATGGGGATGATTTATTTTTATGTGGCAACCACTGACTAAAAGTGTGGCTAGGACAAAAAAGAAATGATGAGTCATTTTTCAGGAGATAACAGTGCGAGCACCTCTTTTCTCCAAGCAGCCTGAAACCAGTTTTCTCTGTGAGAATCTCAGTTACACACAAGTGAAAAGCTGAGCAACACTGCATACAGCTTCATAATTAATGTACTAAATAAAGGTATCTTTTAAAATTTTATCTGTAGTCCTGAAAATACTGTTATTATAAATATTGCTATTAAAAAAAAACACAAAAACCTTTCAGCATTTATAGAGGAGTCAGTGGAATAACATTTTAAAGAAAAACTCAAGTGAGCAAAAGCAGGAGTCAGTTTTGGAGTGAGCTGAGGTACACGAGGTGGTGTGAGAGAAAACGTAACAAAACATTGCCTTCTGAAGAAAATAAACTTTTGCCACCCCACCTTCTAAAAACGGAAAAAGGAAAATAAAATGAAAAGGAAAAGGAAAAAGAAAGAAACTTCCTAATTTGTTATTGCTTAGGGTTTATTTGTATCAAGAAGTAAAAATTCAGCACGGATTTTGAGGAGCATCATCCAAATTGCTATTATCAAAGATGTTGTGCTTTACATACAGTTAAAATGCACTGAACTGGGAGCTGGGTAAATTTGGCAATACGATGGGATTAACAAAACAACACAGAATCATAGAATGGCCTGGGTTGAAAAGGACCTCAAACATCATCTAGTTTCAACCCCTCTGCCACGAGCAGGGTTGCCAACCACTAGAAAAACAAAACAAAAAATACCATTTCTACAACCAGAGACTGATGAAGGCTCTGAAACTTCCTCTGCAAATTAATCATTACAAAGTTTTGATGCTCTTCATTTTACAAAGGTCAGCCCTTAACTGTGCTATGCCAATGCCTGAGAATCTGCTACTACCAGACCTACCTTTATGTGACATTCAAGCAAAGTACAGCACAGAATTAAGAAAAGCAAGCACTGGGGTGAAGAATGGCAAGTACTGCTTTTAGAGCAATGAAATACAATAACAGTTGTAAGGTTCTGCCTATGTAGCTCTGGAAGTGCAAAGGTCTGATCCCTCCCCAGCCAGTGCATGCTGGCACAGCTTCTGCACAGACGTGATTTGATCTGCAACATTTTTCTTCCAACTGACTGTGCCTGATTTACTCAGAAAGAAATATAAACAGCACCTGTAAGAATGGTACTTTGTCAGTACTGTGGGCACACCTTACTGCCTGAAAATCACTGCAGTATTGCACTTCAGGTGCAGATGTTCATATGCAGGCAAAAGGCAGCACGGGAAGAGTAAACTTTGTTCAAGCTGTGATTGCTCTGAGCAGGGCTTGTCGGAAGTGGAGTCAATTGAGCACAGCCAGGAGCACTGCCCTGGGGTCCTCACCACTGGGACTGCTGTCCTTGGCAGGGCTAAGATATGGAGGCAGCAATTTCAGAAGTAAGAAGGAAGAATGAAATAGTGAGGCTTCCATGTAATGAAACTGGGAACAGGTAATATGCTGGCATAGGTATCCTAACAGAACATGCTTAGAGCTGAAAAACACTAAAAAGAAAGTCGTAATTTAGTGATCATTACCTCTAAAGGTCACAATGCATTGGATTTGGTGAGGTGTTTGTAGGCAGGATGCATCATGTTTTTAATATTGTATTTAATAATTTTTTACTACATGCAGTACTGTAGAGCCCAGTGTGTGCATGACCATCAGTCATCACTCTTGATCAAACAGACTGTTCTCAAATCTTATGTTAAACATAGATTTTCTCTTCTAGATTTCTCCAAAATGCAAGATTGAGGCCAAGCCTCTGCAGAACTCTTTTCTCCGTAGGTTTTTAAGTCAGCTCCTATGTATTCATTCTAACTGCCAAAATAGGTTAAAAAATTCATAGTAGTGACTTCATCCTGACAAAATTTGTAACATACTGTGTACACTTCTTCCTCCTATAGCCATTATAAAGCAGCCTATGACATCTGCTGCAGCTAATTTTCCAAAAATTGTTCACACTTGGTTCAGATCATAGAAGCTACTGGCAGATAATCCTCTAGTGCACAGATGTATTACACTTCAGGCTGTATTGTTAATACTGTGCATAACCCCAATCCTGGTGTAGCATCAAACCTTAGTGAAGAAAAGTTCATGTAAACTATTCACGTGGACACAAAGAAGGGGAAAAACTCAATTTAAGAAAAAAGAGATTACATCTACAACTCATTCAACCTAGCAATGCAGCCTGTTTCAAACAATTCACATATTGAATTCAGAAACAATTCCATATCCGTCAGTAAGACATTTTAATGTAAAGACACTTGTACATATTCTTATTTGCCTCATAAAGGACTTGCAGAAGTTTTAAACTCTTACTCCAATAATCATTAGCCCAATGTATGCACAAAATAAACCACACTATCAGGAGAAACATCAGAAAAATGACACATTGAGACCACTAAAAAAAGAACAGGGAATGTCAAGCGGTATTTCAAACCAAGGGAACTGAGCTTAATTGCTAGAAATACTGACTGAATATTAAAGTAACAGAAAGAAGTTGTTTAGGTCAGTGCCATTAACGCAGTAATGCTAGAATGACCTTAAGTTTTTAAAAACTTACAGAACAAACCCATGGTAGATTTTTCATGCAACTTCATAACTGGAATTGTGGAAGACTTTAAAACCTGAAGTGCTGCTAGCTCTTTTCTGACCATGAGGACTGCGATAATAAGAATAGTCATAACTCCTGCTTCAACAAAGACCTTGCACCATCTTACCAAGATACAATATGGTGCGGGGTGTTAGGGATCCTCTGCTTAATGTTTAATCCATAACAGGCAGTGGAGAGCAAGAAATGCAGGACCTCCATTCAGCTGCCTGCGGCCCCCTTACAATCTGCTGCATTTACATACACAACTGTGAGGGAGAGAGGCCATAAGTTCAACCATAATGGACAGTTTTTGCAACTAAGGTGTCACTCAATTTAGTGAAAATATTACGACCCCAAACAATCGCATCTTGAAAACCTCACTGTTCCTACCAGCTTCCAAACAGCTGAATGCTCACCTGTTTTAGATTATCTGCTTTTTTTTCTATGCCTGTCACTCAAAATGTTTGGTTTTGTTACTAGAGGTAAATGGTCCTAAAATCCAATGAGATGTATGACCATCAGCTGGGTTTACTGAGCAAATTAATCTGCACACTTTTCCAAAAGCCTTCAGAGCTTAAATTCCCGTGCAAGAAAATATTAGTAACATCCTAAGTTAATTCTGGCCGAGTCAGATTTCACCATCAATTTGTATAGATAA